ACAAAAACACTGGTAAATATGTAAATATCATCCTCCTTTTTTGAAACTCTGTTAAAAACATAGGCCGTCCCATCACTAGTTACGATATTCTCATATAAGATGATTGGGGTTATGGAGGTTTCACTTGTGGCCGTGGTAGGAAAAGGGGAGATCTCCCGCCGGGCAAGGTGTTATGCCCGGGGAGCGGCCAACACTCCGTGAGATACTTCAGAGATGTTCTATATATGCTGTTTATGATTCGGAATGTTGATAGCGTGATTTAGGCTTCGGTGTGTTTTCGCTTGCGGCGCGATAACAGCGCCGCCAAACTCTTTAACCTCCATGATCGGGGTGAGCGTGACACTGTCACACTCCTCCCGATGTTAGTTATTAGGTGGAGTAAGTGTAACTGTATCCGTATTTTAAGAAATAGTGGATTACAATTAATAGAAACATATTACACTACAAGAACCAATAATATTCTTTATCACTCAACTTGTATCTCATTTAAAATTACTGAAAAACGTATCAAAACACTTTAAAACTTCGTCTCTTAAAATTGCGCGGGCTTTCGCCAGTTTAGTAGTTTATAAAAAATAACCTCTGTCGATAAAATAGTTTAAGTTATGTACTTAACTGTGGGTATGGTCAATAGCGTAAAAGTTCATGCGTTGTTTAAAAGATGGCAGTTAACCAAAAAACGTATTTATGCCGCATATTATGCATTTGTCACACTTGCCCCTAGTCTACCTTATACGTTATTTTTTAATATAATTCGTCCTTATCTTTGGACTACTGACAAAGTTTCACCTTTCCCCCTTCTTATATACTACTAGAGACTTCTGAAATATATCTATCAAGCATCAAGCTCCAAAAAAATTACCTTCCGCCACTGTCCACCCTGCAGAGGCCTATTTCTAGTTGTGGATTTTATGAGGCTCATGAAAAAGAAGTCTCAAATAGGTGAATAAAAAATATGAAAGTTCCACTCGATATAACATTATGTGTACAATAAGTAGTATAATTATGGCATAACTAACAAAACCTTAAAAATCCGTGATCGATATGTTCTCGAATTCCACCAGAGTTTTTTGAAATAAGTTTAGGGAATAATTAGATACAAAAAATCATATTTTTATTAAGGATAAAAAGAAAAATTAAATGCTTCGTAGGTTAATAAAGTGGATGACAAGCGACATCTAATGTACAATGATAAAACTACAGGCACCATAATGCGCTTAGCAGATGACTCAAAAGAGGGCTCTGTACTTAATTTACTTTCGTACAGGATAATTTAGTGTTGGGTAGATAACTGGGTTTCCATAATTGAGTTTAATATTGCAAAACATGTGCGATCTATTTACGTGCCAATGAACATTTTATATAGGAACGGTTAAGACAGCTCTAATTATTATTACTAACAAAAGAAAATTAACGTCAACGTGCTGTTTTCTAGTCATTACGAATCATCTTACACGCCGAATTGACGACTTTTAGCCTCTGAATAAGCCAGTTTTCAAAAGGCTTTAGTACCACAGACTGCAAACATAGGTACCCTTCGTCAGATAAATGAGCAGAAGTACTAATACCTACCGCTGTTGCGTATGTGGACTATGAAAAAGACTTTGATTCCGTCAAAATTTGGCCACTGTTACAGCCCCTACGGCAGTACCAAGTCGACAGTTGATATATCAATGTGTTATAGTAGAGCTACGATGGCTATCTGAGTACAGAACTGTAGTACGAAACCTATGTAACTGCAGACAGGTGTAAGACAAAATATCCCGATGTAATATCTCCGAATGTAATATCTTTCTTTACCGCTTCTTTCTCAGGTATACCTTAATACTTGAAAACAAGAGTTTACAATCAGTACATATTGCCAGAGTTGACATATGGATCCGAGACGTAGCTTTCACTGCTGAACGTAGAAAGAAGTTCGAGGTCTCTCAGCGAGCTTTGTTCCGTGTTTCTCTGTATATAAGGATATTCTCAGTAGAAGCAGCCTGCCTCAATTTGGATGACATTAATCGTCACTTTATTTCTATTACTTCATTGGACCCTCAAGTCCGTTCTCAAACTATTGCTTCTATAGATTCCATGCAGCCTGACTTTTGTTTCTCCCCTGAGTAACACTCAGGATGAAATTAAAGAAAAGCTCTGCACACGATCACTTTTAACTGTCAGTTTTGACTGACTAGTTCTAGCTGACAGTGAAAACTGAGTGTGTGTACTATGAAAACTGTCAGTTACTTTTATTTTCAGTTAAAATTGATATATTGTTGATACATATTTCTTAACTGAAATGACGGACCTGATCAATTAAAACTGTGCGTGTGTAGGCGGTGATTCTTCAGTCGTGTTGCGATCCTCGTTCGTGTTTTTCCTCTTCGCGTACGCATCAATATTAAGCAAAGACAGTGGTTGGCCGAGATTATAGAATTATAAAGAAATGAACTTTGCTCATGGCAAAATAATTTTTTTATTTTTTTACTTTTATTTTTCAAATTTTAATAATAAACCAAGCATGGCTAGAGCCTCGTCGTCGGCTGATGACATCTTGAGCTGAAAATTTCTTCTATATATTTATTATACTGCCCTGATACGGAAGAAGGCGGCTAAGCCACAAATGTATGTTTCGAGAAAAACTGAAAAAAAAAAAGCGCAAAACTGGTTTTCTTGATATATATAACCGAGAAAAAAGTTTTAAATATTGAAATACATGTAAAAAAAATTACGTAACTTTTGTTAATATGTTTTATTGAAATTAATGCCATACTCTTCTGTAAAATCCAAAAATGTAGTTAACGTAAGTATTGTACCATTATATTTGAATATTTATCATAATATAAAAGGCAGCTAAGTGTACCATATCCGCTTTTTAGTGTAGTACTAAGAATAGTCAGAAGCAAAAATGCGGCTAACCTACTTTAACGTTCTTTTGATTTCTGACTTATAATTTAAATTATACTCGTAGATTATGCTTTATTGCAGTTTAGTGATTTGACTGCCTTTAAGTTTAGTTTAATAGCAAATAATTAAATTAAATAGAAGTATTACTAATCTAAAAGGCAGTTAAATGCACATCAATCTTATATAACTGCTTTTTTGGTTAGCATTAGCATAGATATATTACCATTATGTAAGTTTTAAAAGTTGCTAAGTGTAAAATAAAAATGTGCTTTGAAGGATACCATAACTTTGGATCGTTAGGAAAAACAAGAAAATGATTTCTAAAATTTCAATAAAAAAAACCTTTATTTTTAAAACATAATTATTATATCTGGTAATCAGACTTCTTACTCACTTCTTCATTCTAAAATAAAGAGGTAATTATCAATCTTACAATAATTTTAAGGAAAAAAATAACAAAAATATTTTAAAAATCAACAAATAAAAGTTACATTCCTAAATCTTAATTAGTGTAATCAGACTTTTAACGCTTTTTTGAAGAGATACTTTTAAATATTATTTATCGTCTCTGAGTGACTCTACACTGAGATCAGCAATCATTATTTTTTAAATACTACCCTACATTATTAATAAATTCATTCCTCATCAGAATCAGTCTTTTTCATTGTCCTTGGTAGGTAAATTTTTCCAAAACGTTTGCTTATAAGGCAGCATAAATTTGCTAAGTTTTTTCAGTATATTCTCTTTTCTTGAGGTTTTTATGCATCTTGGATTTGTTCTAGACGTTATTACAGAAACCGGTCCTGTTTTAGATTTTAAATACGTATCTTTTAGAAAAGTTAGTTCGTTTACTTCCCCATCAAAGTCAGTTTTGTAAAACAAATTAAACGATCCTCTTTTGAATATTACTTGCACCATGTTTCGCATATATGCACGTGGGTTTGAAGTTTGGATTCTTCTTGGAGATGTATAGTCAATAACGTTAATGAAATCGGAGGTTTTCATTTCCTTAACAGTCACTTTTGCGGTATTGGCAGCAGACACTGCTTCAATAAAGTCTTGAAAATCGTGGAGTTTCTTTTTTCTTTTCATTGAAAGTTCCACTTGGTGATGGAAGTGGTCACAACTCATAAAGGTGTGTCCAGATTCAAAATAATTAAGGTTAACTTGCTTGGCACTGATTTCGCTGGAGTTTATAATGTGGACTAGGTAAAAATACAATAGCCAGTTTTTATTTTGAGCCGCGCAATTGTCAAGCCACAAATCAATGAAATTATAATCTCGACTCTGCATAAGAAAAACATTAAAGGCACTAATAATGTCTTCTTGTTTACGGCCAGTTATGGCTTCGTGCCATAAAACAGCGTATGGATTTGTATTAGATTTTCCTATCGGAGCAAAGGTTTGATTAAATGCTACCAGTCTTTGACAAAAAACTACTTCCTTAAAAGTTTCTAATCTTGGTAACATTATAACTTTTTCCAAATCTGTGCTATAGTAAATGTGGTTGGGTTCATTTTCCTTCTCTTCCTTATGTTTTAAATAAAGTTTTCTAGCTTTTAGTGCTCGCGATTTGTGATTCCTGTAATCTAAACATTTTACACAGTCATCAAAAATACTGTCTTTATCATGATTTTCAGATTTGCAATGTATTTTATGAGCTTCACATATCTCACATTCCTCGTGACCTAGTTGTGTGAAGGAGATGTTTAAAGATTTCACTACTTTTCTATAAAAATCGTAGGATATTTTGAAACCTGGTTGTTTTTCTATGAAATCAGCATGCATCAATTTCACAGTTATGTCACTAGGCAAATATTTTCGTTTCGGAGCATGCTCTCTTCGATAGTGTGAATTTGTTGGATGAAATGTTTGTATATGTTGAATGACACTCTCTCTATTATAATGTTCAGTTTTTGTATGCTTTCCTCTCATGTCATCCTTCGCGATTTCTTCGCTTAAAGCATTATATAATACTTTATCATTAGAGCTTTTATAACCCAGTGTTGTAAGTAAAAAATGCTTGCAGACCTCAATGTGTCGTCCGTTTTTCTGAAAAAAAAAACGTGCGCCTAGCATGCCTTTTTGAGGGTGTTGTAACTTTCCGCTTAGGTGTAGCAAGACAGTTCTCTCCACTTCAAACCCCAGTAATATTTGTTTATATATTTCCTGTCTTCTTCACTAAACATTATGTTACATTTTTTCAAGCAACTGTTTTTGCACCCTTCTTTCACAGCATGTTTTTCTATGTATTTTGTTTTTTTAGCGAGTTGTCTCTCCTTTAAACTTTTTTGAAACGTTTTTCTTTTACGTAATTTTCCGGATTTAGTGTACAGTTGCTCCGTGGTATTTTTTTCTTTCTCTATTATTTCCTCGGATACGCGCTCTAAATTAGTATCAATTATTATATTATCTTCTGGACTAGTAGGCGTTTCTTGTTCAACAATTATGTACACAGTTACTTTTTCTTGTTCACTATAATCACGCATATCGTCATTACATGTAAATAAAAATGATTGATTTTCTTGCTTTTGATATATATTTTTATTAATAGCATTTCTACATAACGATAGCAATGTTTCTATTTTTGTAGTTGCATTTCTGAATTCTTTGGTTTCCAGGTTTTTTGGCTGCGATCGTTTTTTTTAGATGTTTTCTTCTGCTCAATCATATCGTTTTGATATTAAATTTTTCAGTGCCTGCTAAATCTGACTTTTGTTTATTCACTTTTTTATCATGTTGAATAGTAGGCGGAAATAAGTATGAAATAGACTGATTATTGTCTTCTTCGGGATCAGAACTATTTTGTGGCATCTCCGCTGATGGCACGTAATCCTTATCTCTTACAGAATCGTCAGAGTCGAAATCTTCACCGCTTGATTCTAAAAAATGGTGCTCTTCTATTGATTCTAGAAGACGTACTGTAGACGGCAAGGAGTAATTAATAGACAGATTGTGTATTTTTTCCGATTCGGAGCTATTCAGCGATAAGTTGGCTGCCGGCGCATAATTTTTGTCATTCAAACAATCATTGGAGTTAAAATCTTTATCAATAAATTCAAGGTGATATTGCTGTGCAGATTCTGAAAGACGTACAGTGGGAGGCAAAGAGTAAGTAATAGATTGGTTCTCATTTTCTATGGATTTGGAGTTAGTTTGGGACATACTCTCTGGTGGCACATAGTTTTTATCTGTAGTGCTCAATTCATTACAATCAAATCCATCGCTTACAGATGGTATCATTTCTTCATAACAAAAAATATTCACAGAATTTTGTTCGTTATCAGTTAAGTCAATTTTTGATGTATCTTCATTTTTTTGTTGCGAATTATCCAGTTTGAATATTTGCTCCCACGCATCTTTTGGAGTTGACAGAACTTTATCAATTGATTCAGAATCACTTAAAATATGTTCCTTAAACTTAATATCCATCGAGTATGATCGAGACCAAAGTGAATTAATTATCGAAGAATGGGGAGCCAATCGTGTCGACTGGGCCCACTGATTATGTTCAAATGGTTTACGGTCATCTGCCGATTCTTTAATTGCCATGCTTACTAACTTCTTTCCTCTGTTAAACCGAGACATTATTCAATCTGTAAAATAATATAAGTACTCAAATAATGTAAAAGAAAGGAGGTCAGCTATGAAAATATTTAATAACAAATAAGGAAAAAATATTAGTCTATTAACTGGTGTATATTTTTATTTTATTTTATTTTATTCAGGACAACAAACAATTGTGTAATAAAATATAATACAAAATACAGGTCTTATAAAAAGGGAAATACAAATAATTACACAACCAACACCGTTATCCACAAAGTAATATCACAATAAAAAGTAATATAATAATGCACAGCAAACATGTTGTATGATACCACAAAAGATGAATAAATTCGAGCGTTCCCTGAGCAAATCCCAGCCAACACAACAACTGTAGTGGCTATGCTAGCCAAAACTTGCCTCGAGAAACAACAGTTGAACCATTAATAAACTATTTAAACCTTAAGACAATACTTTACTTATTAGTATTTTTTTTAAAATACACTTTTTGAACATTACAAATGATAAAGCAAATATAACAAGGATAGTAGTTTCATACAAGATTTCATCTACACTCATGCACAAGGAAATATATTGTTAAACATTTTTGCCTTTCATAAAAGCAAATAATATTAATTATGGGGCATGCCGTCTAACTATAAATTAAAAAAAAAATCCTTTGCTGCATTGTATTTTAATAATATTTTATCATGAATATAAAGCTGGCATATAAGAAACGTATTAAATAAAATGTGTTATTATTGACTACATTATAAGTATTAAATCAGGGGTTTACGATATGAGTTGCTAAAATGTTTAATATTGATTGTGGTTAGTTAGTACGCTATACGTGCCGATCTTAATGAAGATGCCAGTTGAGAAAGATATGAACTTAAATTTAAAATATGTGCATGGCTTAAATTGGTGGAATAAATACCAACTTTTGAGTAGTATTACTCAATAATAATATCATAATGATACAATATGCAACTACAAACATTATTAAGTAGGTATCTAGTTACCTTATAACTAACGTGTTGGCGCCAAAAAATCGACGTGATAAGCATGCGGCTTTCTCCCGTGACGTCTCGGAACGCAATGATCCAAATAAAAAATCCAAACCAAGAAATATACACTTCTGGCGCACTTTTTACCGATCGGATTCTCTACGCACATTTCGATTGCTAAACTTACACTTAGTACTCTTTCAGAGTGGAGGCGGGCGCGGGTGCTAGCGCGGGCGCGTGTAAATCAAAATGTATGTAGACGCCAGTTGCATTCAGAGTGCTCCCGCGCGCCGCGCGCAGGGTTGGAAAAAAAAACAGTTTTTTTTTAAAAAAGAACAAAACATCATGTTTAAAACAAAAAACAAAAAAAACACGTTTTAAATCAATTTTTCGTAAATGTTTTATTTGAAATGTTTTAAACATGTTTTAAACACGTTTAAAACATGTTTAAAACATTTTTTAAGACTTAAAAAATGAGTTGTTTTGCGATTGGGATAAATAAGGGGAAGGTAGAAATTAAAAGAAACGATAAAATATGAAAGAAGTTTTTTATTGTAAAACAATACACCAGAACAAAAACAGTACTTATATCTTCAACAAAAAAAATGAATAAATAATCAACTCTGTCTGACCTGACACCTGACAGTGTGACTTTTGTCAGTAGTATCTATTGTATCTGTGAGAAAAACCTTACCATCATCCTCAGTAGTGGTTACACTAACACACACAATAGGTTCATTGCGTATATTACTCCAACCATCCAGTGCCATATAAACCACTTTTCCTTTCAAATTGTTTTCCATATTTGATTTTACGGTACCATACACTTTGTCTAGCAAATTTCCGCCAATTTTTTTTCGTTTAGGTGGTACATAGTCTTCGAGCTAATTGCATCAAACTGACAAATTCTGGATGCTCAGAGTGTCGGAATGCAGTGTTCGTTGCATAAAAGTATCTGGCAACTTCTGAATCTATTTTATGCTTTTCCTGTTCTGATGTTTTCACTACATATTGTGACATCGACATTATTGAGCGACTTGACGACGCTGATGAGTCCTGCCTCGATTTTTGCTAATAGGCTCAACATTGGTCTAGATTCCATCTGCCTCACTGTCTGTGAAAAAAAACTCTGTACAATATATATATATATATATATATATATATATATTTACACACAAAACGTGTAACTAACTAGGTATTTAGGTAAAAAATAAATTTTAGGAAGATTAAATTTGAATAAGGATGTATTTGCAACTGTTTAATGGTACATTTCAAAATAAAGCTAAAAAGTGTATAAATAAAAATAGTGAAATCAAATTATAAACGGCGCACATTTATATGCAATACTAGTGGGTACCCGCAACTTTGTCTGCGTGGAAAAACTGGCTCCTCATACAAACTTTCATCCCCCTTTCATTTCACCCCCTTCAAGTATGATTTCTGGCATAATAACTATACTATGTCCTTTCAATTTCACTAAGGGACAGATATACAGAATAACATTGCGTTTGAAATGTATATACTTTAAGTTGGTATTAGATATCTACAAAGCAACAAACATTATATAAAAATACAAGTATTTACTTACCATCCTCACTTGAATCATTATGGATTTGGATTCTTGCTTTCGAAGTCGATGGGCTTGACTTTTTAGCCGCATAATCTGAACAATTTGTTAGATGTGCCCTCATTAGGCGATTAACCCTACCAAGTCTTTCCCGCAATACTTGCACTTCGCCCTGAGTGTTTTTGCACCACCCCCTGTTGTAGATGCAAGCAGTTCTCTGAAGTACAGCCAAAGCGAATCCTTTTTTTCGTCTTGTAGACATTCTTTCTTTTGGAAGGGCAGGCAGGCAGAATGCAGATCCAGAGTATTCCAGATTGATAATAAATCAAACAAATAAATACTAAACGAACGAAACTCAATCAAATTATCTATCACTCACTAGTCATTACAGTCTCACTGAACAATCTACAATGACAATAAGAAAAATACCGCAGTACAATACAAGCGGAGCGAACTATCTTCATCCCTTTCCCATTTACTCAGAGTAGAAAAATACCTTACTCGTTCGCTCATTGTAGTCTACTGGGGTAATCTCTGTCAGCCGCCAGCTAGAATTGCCATCACAATTTACAATACACCTTAAATTATAATGTTGCCAATAAAAAGTTTTAAAAAGTACGAAAAAAAAATAGTTAGGATTAATTATAATGTTGTAAAAATTAACGTTTTTTATATATGTTTTAAACGTGTTTAAAACAAAATGTTTTAAAACGTGTTTTAAACAGGTATGTATTTTTTCCAGTGTTTTAAACAGTGTTTTAAACACTTGTTTTAAACAAACGTTTTAAACATTGCCAACCCTGGCCGCGCGTCGGCATGAGGCGAGCGCGGGCGCGGGCGGCGCGGGTGTTTCTAATGGCTTAGTCCGCTCGTATCGTTCACAGTGAACTAGCGTCTGTTAGGTGACTACGCTTGTGGTTCTAAACCATTTTGATTCACCCGCCGAAGCGTCGTCAATCATCATGGATATCAATACGGAAGAATTTATATCTGCAGTACAACATCGCACTGCTATTTGGCAGGGCAAACATCTGTAACATTTAAATAGGGTGGCCATAAATAAATAAATTATGGGAAGAAATAAATTGGTGTCAATCTTGACTAAACATGGATCTCGGAGATCTTATTTAATATGTATTCAAAAGTGTCTAATGACATTCTCGTGTATTCAAAGAATTTATCGGGATACATCCGTAAATCAGCGTATAATACATAAAATTCTCCAAACTCCTCTCTTCCTTTATTTAAATCGTGTGTGCCAAACTTCTATATTGCAATTTCCATTTCAAGTATGTATGAATTTCAAAAGAAAATCTTCATCTATGTCTTCTATATACGTAGCAAAGTTTGAGAACAACCAAACACATTT